TATGTATATGTATATATAAATATGTTTGTTTGTATGTATGTATGTATGTATGTATATTTAAATATAAAGATGAATGGAAAGTTCGATTCAAAGTTTAGATTTATTGTACTTAATAAACATGTACATACTAGATATATTGTACTAAGTCATGGCTCTCGCCTCTGGAGAAAAATAAATACCACAACGGACTAAAGTACATAGGATATACACTATCGAACAGAGTCGGTTTAAATTACGCACCATAGATACCCATAAGCCAGCCAACCGTCACAGGCCTCCTTTGTTCCGGTGGGTTCACCGCCCTACCAGCCGATGCTTGAGCGACCACTAGATTGACTCTCAGCGCAGTTGAGGTATCGAAAATAGGGACAGAGTCCCCATTGATATTTCAGGGTGTGCCGGAGATGCGGCAGGCCCCGTGGAGGCCGCTTCTGAGCCGATGGTCGGCGTCGCTTCTGTAACTGAACTATACATGTACGCCGACTCGATAGCCACGGTGGCTGGTTCTGCACCTGAAGCCGGTATCCATTTCCAACGAGCACATAGCAGGAGCCCTGGTGGTCGAGAATCCCATAGTCGTGGTAGGTAGAGTGGATGAGACGCTCATCGTGGTCTCCGCTGCGTCGTTACTGGCGGTATGGCCTGCGGGTACCGTGGGGACTCTCTCGCGAGGAGAGCACGCGTCATATCCCTACGGCGCATCACAGTGCACGTGATAGGTGACCAGCTGGTGTAGCACTCTCACCAACTACTAACCCTCTGGGTGTGTACAGACCTACATACAAACACAATTTTAACTTATGGCCAGGCGCCGACAGCCGGAACAGATCTCGTCCGCAGCCTTCATCGGTGGCGTGGTGCCATTTGTGATAGCTGCATCAGCTGTGGCGGCAGGTGCTGCCGTTGTAGGCGCTGTGCTGGGGTTAGGCGAAGGGTCTGCAGCACCAGCCATGTTGCACTACAGCACCAGCCATGTTGCACTACAGCACCAGCCATGTTGCATTACAGCACCAGCCATGTTGCACTACAGCACCAGCCATGTTACACTACAGCACCAGTGCACTACAGGACTGCTACACTGGATGGGGATCCATCGTCCTCAACCAGAGCCCCGGATAGACAATCCATGTTGCAGCCTATGCCCATCCGCCGGTGCCTTTTCTAGCGGAGGCGCATTCGCCAGCGCTTCAGCATTGCTGGGGTTTTGTTCGCTGTCTTGCCTTCATGTCCAGTCCTGAGGATGCTCGGATCTCGATACACCCGACTACCCGACTGATTGTTCACCACTGGTGTTGGTATACGCTTTCGCGGAGGCTAGATAGACTCGTTTCAATCGACGCGTGCCTCATTATCACAGATCGAGCGGCTCTAACAATCGTTGTATCCGCGCATACACCACGGCATTGGTGCAGGTGATCGAGTGCTTGTCGTACGGGGGATCGATGTACAGCAGTTTCAGCACACACAGCCGGCGGACTGGTGCGTCTGATGGGGTCAGGCTCTCGGCAGCACTCGTCTCCACCGTTACCGGTATCCGATGGGAGGCAAGCAGCGCAAGGACCCTGTCGCAGCGATCATTGAGTTGCGCTGTGTTTTGCGTCTATGGACATGTGGGATAAAGAAGAGATTTTGAGCGGAATTGATCTCACGATATGATTACAACTTTGCAATAAACTTCCGCAACACAATAACCTCCACGTCGTGCATACGAAATTCAAAGTTAACTGTGCTTACTGGTTGTTTGTATTGTCCATTGATGTAACGTGAATGTGTGCAAGGGTGATGGGGTTAGGCATAGTCGGTAATTTAGAATCACAAGTGTACGTTCATATTTCCGTGTATGTACAAGAGTATCACTTATGTACCGAGTGTGTGTATTTGTACAGACCTGCTGATGCATAAAGATATGTTCATACTTAAAAAACAAGTGTGCTAATAGAGCGAGTTGTATATAAGTACGCACTATTTGTGTTCAGTTCGATTATCGGCACATCGGCATCGCTGGCGTAAATCGCGGGCGATTTATTATAAATAGACCAGCCGTTACTAACTTTCCCGTACACAATACAACCGATAGAGCCCGCTACAGAGTATGTGAAACAAAAAAGCACGTGTTGAACCCAATTTTCTAGCCAAGCCGCCAACCGAAAGTGATTGTATGAGAGTGCGCAGAGATCCTATCAACCAGTATGTGTGACGTACAAACATTTGTATGAAACAATAAAAAATATTGCGTAATACAAAGTATATGTGCGTGCAGATATGATACTCATCCGCGGTCTAAATGATTCCATTGTCGTATATATGTCCTGGGCTTAACCTAGATCGTTTGCACATACAGTGCAATTAAGAGCCCTAGTGGATCATTTCAATGACAGCTTGATGAGCTCATGGTTATTATGATATTTTGACGAGGACAAACTGGTAACAATATGCAACAAGCTACAAAGACATAGACATCGGCACACACACAACAGATATACTATACATGAGCCACAGAGGGGTGGATTCGCATGTTCCCGTGGGGCTATCGATTGGTCCGTTAGTCAGGAACGCGGACTTAGAAGTCTCCATTCACCACTTATTACTTAGCCAAAACAACACAAGCAGCATCACGCAGCCAATACCTAATAAAGACTTGGCTTCTTGTGAAGTGCAGCACAGGATATGAGCTTCTACAGCACCCTACAATTTAACATTCACACAACGCGCACATCACCATCACACCATTGAGACTATCAGGCAACACAGTTTAGTAGTCCAGTCCGCAGCTGCCATAGCATGCTATTACAAATCCTACACAGATCAGTTCATACCACAGCCGTAGACGTCTGTTGAAAGCAACTCAAAGATGATAGGCCGTTCTGGAGTATTAGTCGGATCTCTGCTGGGCATGGGCCACTGGGTGCTATATCTGAATAGCTAATTATATTCGGGCTGAATAGCCACACAAGCGTTGTGGTAGCATTGGGCGAACCCGGATCGTAATTACTCGCGGTGTCTTCCGCTTCGCACAGTAGTAGCACAGAGCGGTTCTCTGGGTCTACAGCGTACACCCATCCCTTGTGCGTACGAGACTGTTTGGTTTCTATGCATAGATAGCTGCTCACTTTCTTTTGTAGATCCAGGGACTGCCCCCTGAGCCGTTCCTCTTCCAGCGTGTGAAGCTTCATTATATATAGGAACTTTATATATGAAGACGGAGTTTGGAAGCTACGGATACATAGCTCTTTACCACGTCGTCAACTATACCTGCTTAAATACATTTTAAAATGTGATTCCAAGGATGTACTTGGCGAAGCCGTGTAAATATACGCGGAACCGCCAAAAAGAACCGGCAAATGAAACAAGAATGATGAAGGGGAGTATACGTAAATATATATCATATGATAAGCCCCTTATCTTTTAGATCAGTTTCTGAATACGCATACACAGACTCTAGTTAGTAATGACAAGGATAGCAATCAGTTGAACGTTATATCAGTCAACCAGTCGTGCGTTACTCCAGGTTACGTAGCACGGTACATGATCTCAATGCAACATGGGTAAAAAAAAGGAGCGTAAGTTCCTAGTCGAATTTCACATATTTCAGCTATCCAGCATACCATCGCGAAACGGATCGCTCAGAGCGTCTCTACAGCTAGGGAAGAGGAAGATAGGCATCACTCACAGGTACGTCTTAACAGGATATAGTATATGTATATACAAACCACTGAGTACGACAACATGTTCTGGAATGCACATCAGCCTAAACTCAATGACTGTACTAGAGATGGGCTTTGTGGATAAAAGTATTGACTAAGATTGGCCAATATATGTTTTATATATTGGATATATACCTATACCACATGTATATACAGGTACAGTCATTATAAACAGATATAGGAATTGTGTATATACGTATACATGAACAACTACATGAACAACTACAATGCCTTATATATATATATATATATATATATATAATATACGCACACACGTCGTACCACACACAGACACACACACTATACACACACACTATACACACACGTACGC